TCTGCTTTTAAATCTGCCTTCATTTCCATCTTATCAGTCTTCATTTAATTGCCGTTGCGTGTAATGGAGTGATAATTGCCCTTTAAGGAGTCACTAAACAGTTACAGAGCACATAAGATAAAAAGATGTGTTCGTAATTCAACCTATGACAGCAGCTAGGCTTGTTCATTACTAGTTTTAATAATATTTGTTCTAATGTGACTAAGCTGTTGAGTAAATACAGATAATGGTGTACTCTTATCCTTGTTAATTAAAACAGTGTTTGCACTAGACTGCTCTAGCTTTACCACAGAAATTTCTATGATTGTTCTGCTAAATTAAAATCAAAGTATTCTAGAAGGTAAATGAATGATAACTCCTACAGATACTCCACTGAAAATGTAAGATCACATGCAGAAGCTTAAATATACTTGAACATGGCCCTTCTGCCTTCCAGGTTATAATAAGGGCAGTGGCTCTTCAGTATCTACAGGTGAAACTCGAATAATTAGAATATCATGCAAAAGTAATTGCAGTAAGTGCTGCAAAAGGGGCCCAAACCAAGTACTGAGTACATATGCATGGTTGTACTTTTCAGAGGTCCGATATTGTTCTATGTACAATCATTGTTTTATTGATTGCATGTAGTAATCTACTTTTTTGAGGTTGTGGATTTGGGGTTCTTGGGGTTTTCATGAGCTGTAAGCCATAATCATCACAATTATGACAAATCACAGCTTGAATTATCTTGCTTTGCATGTAATGAGTCTATCTCATATATTAGTTTCACCTTTTAAGTTGCATTAGTGAAATAAATGAACTTTGCACGATATTCTAATTATTCGAGTTTCACCTGTATATCCTCTGCTGGGTCCTGTGTAATTAAATTTGTTTGTGTTACTTCCTATGTGGCGCAGAGGCCTGCAACACTGTTGTGTGATCCATTATGAAGGCCACAGATGGTTACTGTGGCTGTTTAACAGAACCAGTAATTACAGTAGTAACTTCTAAATATAGTAAGTAGTCTGACACGTTCATTGTGAATTTTTTATAGATCTCCATAAATGATCTGATTTTCTCTTTATGCATTTTCCAAAGATGTGGAGCTTTTACAATTCTTGTTTACTTAGATAAGCAATCTAGGATAGGTTCAGCACATGTGTACAGTTCATGTGTATTATATTTAAGGCAGATCTAAACCCCTACTGTATGGCATTTAGGCCCCATTCACACCAGATCCCTTGCATTGCCAAAAAATAAATGGGTGCGAATGGGACCAGTTCACACCACTGCGATCTGTTCCATTTCTTTGCAGTGTGATGGGGAAAAAAATACGGCATGCTCTACTTTTTTGCAGCACAACATAACGTAACAGAACAAAAACAGATGTAATTGCAATGGGACAGGAGTAAAAAAAAAAGAAAATCCATAGATGTTTGTCCACTCAAAAAAAACTCAAGGGAATGGAAATCAATGGAGGTTGAAACCGCAAGTCAACTGACCCTCCGTTGACTGTGATTTCCTTCCGATTTTGGTGTGAGCTGGCCCTTTGTTTGCTAAAGCAGTGTGTATCATAAACATTTGTCTTGTCTCCTTTTTCATAAAATACAGCTTTCGCCTTTTTTTGTAGAATATTTCTTTATTATTTTTCCCAATATATACACAGTATAAACATACAGACATTGTTTGTATTGTTAAGAGACCACCATATAATATTCCACTAGTAATAAAACCATGCTTCCCTGTAAGGGTCTCAGCTAAACGAAGCAAAAAAATAAAGAAGAAAGAAATGCAAGAGAAAAAACAAGAAAAAAAAACAACCTAAAACACTTCAAACCCTAAACACAAAAAAAACAAGAAAAAAATCCAACTTTGCCTTTTTTAAATCCTTTTTGCATGCTGATCTTAGCATAATTCATGATACATCCCAGTTACATCCCCACATGTGTGGATATGAAGATATAAATCATCCAATAGAAATTGATTAATTAGCACAGTAGCAAAATAGTAGCAAAATAGTGACCTGACCAAAACCACAAATTTACGACTAAAATTTGGGTTATTCCAACAGGAAAAAGTCTATCTACTTTGAGGAGCTTAAACCTGGTCAGGTTTTGAATTCATGCTACTTTTAAAGGACTTCATGTTTTTTTACAGGAAACCATAAGACTTATGATACATTTTGAAAGGCGAAATAGAGATGAGCAAAGCAAAGTTAAAAGAAAAAAAAAGTGTAAAAGAATGAGATAATAATGAAAAAGGTCATTAGTTATTCATTGATAAAGTTGGACAAGCTGAGTTCTTAAAGACAAGATGGAGGTCTTTCATATTTCGTGAGGGTATAAACCCAGCCAACTTTTTACCTCAAGGATGACAACATAGGAGCACATTTGGGAAGTGCCTGAACAAAGGCATCATGGGAGGATCAACATATGTTATTTTAATGAAAGCTGCAGATTAAAAAAGATTAAAAATCCTTTTTACATTTACAATAGCATGTTAAAGATCTTCTTTAATTCTGTCAATGATTCATTTTCATTAAATGCACTTTTAGAACCTTTTTTTAGTCTCTACCAGCCAGAACCAGACATGTGGTATGTTTATTGTACAGTGGAAACAAGCAAAAATAAAAACCTCTGCCAAAGATCCAGACCTCGTGCTGACTGGGTTGTTTGGCACCCCTGTTTCTCAAAGGAGAGCAAAGGTGCCACTTTTCTGTTCCCCTGGGTAGAAATAAGTCACTTTCTTTGGGGATTCTGGGGTCCATTAGACTCCCTAACCAGTAAAGTATAGTAGTAATGTAAGGGGGAACATCATTGCAAGCTAGAAAAAAATAGTGTAAGAAATCATTGATACGTGCGGAAAATGCAGTTGTCTATACACATTGACTGTAGTCCATTTCAAAAACACATATAGATGCTGCATGCAACTGAATGCATTTGCAAACCACACTAAAACCAATGTCTACTGCAATTAGAGTAGACATCAGCGATATCACACCATGCACTGTAGCCTGGATGGTGGTCATATGTAGCAAACCTGATGACCCCCTACCTTGAAATTAAACTGACTCATTGCACTCTGTGTTAAGCACTCACTATATGGGGTGAAACTGCACAATTCATCATACTAATAAGAACTGGATTAAAAAGATGTTACTTATTGACCGTTGTTAGTATACAATATACACATAACAGACATATGGAAATCAAACTTGTCTAATTATACCAGGCATGTATATTGGCGCTTATAGTAAATGTGAAAGCCTGAAAAGTGTTTTTATGTTAAAGTAGACCTGGGACTAGGCTATTAAGAATGTAATATTTACATTTTTCTAACAAGAGTAAACTTTAAAACAAGCCCTCACTGGCCTCTGTAGTTATGGCTACTGTGAAGTAATTCCTCCACAAATCTTCAATAGCTCCCCTGCCCCCTGCAAGCCAACTTCAGAATCACTTTGCTGCTTCTCTTGTAAACTAAATAGAGAATGAAGTAGAGGTAGGATAGAGGTGGATCTTTATTTTAATGTAAGGGGCTTTATACATTTCACAGAATGTTTTAGGTTTCCTATTTGTGTGTAGCAGCTTGTGTTTAAGATTTAATAGGCTGACTAGATAACCTCTGCTCAGTGATGTGGGGACTATGTTCACAATTACAACCAGGCCCCTGAACTATACCCCATACTACTATGACAGTAAAGTGCAGGGCGTGGCAAGAGGGAGAATATAGTAAAGGGGGGTCATTAAAGGGACTGCTATGGCTAGCCACTCCACTGACTCCACCCAAGGCATGAATCTTCATGTTCAGATTCACTGTGACAGATGTGCACCTTGGAAACTGCCTGGGGATTGCAAATGGTTGCTACAGTTAACATTTTCAGGTAAATATCCTGGTACAAATTTTCTTTGAAGTGTAGTTCCACTTTTGCAGTTACATTTCTAGTTATTTCTTTGAAATAGGTCTTTGGGCACACTGCAAGCTATTTTGAACAATTTCATAGAGGGACAAACTGAGAAAACATACGTAAACAAGCAATGTACCACCCAAACCTTGAGATATTTAACCCTTTCTTAGGACCGAAAATTCTAGTTTACAACTAATAATGAGCACTGCCAGTGCAGTGCAGACAGGGTTAAGTATGGTAAACATTGACTCCCCAGCCAACTCCTTAACATCACTTAGATGAGGAAGTTAGGTAGGATTAAGCAAGAAGTAAAAAGATAAGCAGCATTTTTTTAAAGTTCTGCTATGTGAATGCGAACATGTAATATATATATAAAGTAGGTGTTAAGCCAATTTGGTTTAAAAAATGGAAATGCACTGCTCAGAAGGAACACGTCTGCTCACATCCCTCGGTAGCCACGCCCCCCTGCTCGGAAATGCACTTTAAGTCACCCCTTTGTTCAATAAATTGTTCTCTACCATGTAACATAGGTTCCTCTTTTTTTATTTCTTTTTTTATTAAAGGTGTAGTCTCCCAGTGCTAGAAGTATAAAAGAAGCATTGTGAGAAACAGCAATATTATTTCTTTTACAATATATAATCATGCCAGATTGCCATCCTTCAACAATGCTGCTGTCACTTCAGAGAGAAAACTACTTGCGTTGATTCCTTGCCAGGGGCGCTGTTATTGGATAGCCACTATTTATACGCAGAGCTGCTGCTTCTCGGGGAATTGGGGAGCTTAAAAGCCTCTCTGAGAATATGATCTTCAATGAGTATAGTGATATCAACATGCACAGACTGATCAGCTTACAAGTGACAGAAGCTGGAGACCCGCTGGAAGTTCTGTTTTTATGTGCATATGAGACGCCCGAAAAATGAAGCGGCTTTGTCATTGATCTCTTTGTGAATTCTATCTTTTGACAAAGAAGTTTGACAACTTTGTCCAGTACTGATATATTTATAAAACCTGCTTATATACACCAATACTGTTGTTTTTTTATTTTTTATCACTACCTCATATAGATCTAAAAGTCTCACCTATTTATTATGTATGTATGTATTTCCTTTTGTTTCAGGTATGGATGTGTGGAGGACAAATGTTTGATGTCCCATGTTCCAGAGTTGGCCATATCTACAGAAAGTATGTGCCTTACAAAGTTCCAACAGGGACAAGCCTTGCGAGGGTGAGTAGGAGTGTTATGTTTCATAAAAAATACAAATAAACTATTTTTAAAATCCAGGTTCTACCGAAAATGCTATTTTATAGTGTGAGGAAGGATTAGTTCTTTCAGATTTTATGTACTTTCTGTTTGTCCATTGAATAACTTTGCTTTCAGATTTTAAACCTCTTTGTGTTCCCATAGAGGGTTTTTTTTTTTTTCCTCTGGAGAAGACTTGTTCCTCTGGACAGGAAGTTAGGGGAACGCTTCCTCATGGGGCACAAACGGCAATAGAATACTGGCAGAGGTTTTACACCTTCCTCAATCTACTTGAAGACGTTGTATTGCCCACTCCCTTGCTGGAATTTCTGTTCACTGCATGTTCTGATTGCCTCCAATAAAATAGACAGAAAAAGGGAGATTTTACAACACTTCCTGCTCTGACATTAAAAATGTTAGAACCCTCCTATAAAATGTGTTGTTGTTAAATATCAATACACACTCGTAAAAGAAAACAATGCGCATTTATTATTGTTTTGTATTGGAGCCAGTAAAGCATTGCAACTGTGATCAGTGAATAATGAGTGCAACGCTCTGACTACTGTTGATCCTTCCTCCCTTTCTCCTGGGAGGAAGAATAAATGGATTACAAGCGCGGTGGCAGCACCAAACATGAATTCTATCGAGAGCTACAAATTCATCTGCCGTGGTGGTTATGTGAGACATTGATGTAAATGATAGAGGTATGTATGTATGTATGTATGTACATGTTTCATGTTACACCCATATATGTATATATGGGTGTAACATGAAACATGACCAGTAAGGTAAACTAAGCTGTTAACATCAACCTTTCAAACCCATTTCACACCTTTAGTGTACTCAGACTAGTAAGCCTGCACATTTATTAGCAGTGTCCTTTCTCTACCTTTTGCAAAAAACCCCCTAACTTATTCCAAGATAAATACCAAAGAACCAGTATGCACTGGCTACCTGATTGCAGGTTTCAATTTAATACATTGGTGTTTTTAAAAGAAACTGTTGCCTATACCTTCTCCTTTCAATGTAGGTTAGAGCACATTAGAAATCTAGAGTTTGGGGGTTTGTTGTCCAAAAAATACATACAACGTCTGTTATGGCAAAACACTTCTTTCCCTTGAGCCTAGCTGAGAGCATAGGTGGAAATTTTTCCTATGCTTCTTAGCACCATCTAGTGGCCATAATGTGATATTTAGCTGATATTATATTTAACCTGGAAAGAAAATATACTGATAACATTAATTTTTACCCCATTTGCACAGAACGGATGTACATGCAGTTTCGCAGGATTAATGGCTCTGTATGAAGCAGAGATCTGCTTCATCAGCTTCTTTTCTCTGGCTATAGCAGCCAGATGACTGACAGGTGAATGCGGAAGTGATGTAATACACATCACTTCTGCATTCACAGCCCGGACGGAGGTCAGCAAGGAGCTGATCTCCCGTCCTCCTCCTCCTGACGCCCTCCGAACGTTCGCTCCGCGACGCGAACAAGCACATATAGACGATCGGCGGGCTATGGAGCCGCTAATCGCCTATATGTGAAACACCCGGTAACGGGTGTGTGCAATGGTCGGGTCTTTTCTGCCCGTGCGTGCCCGCCAGGGGGCGCGCGCGAGCAGCAAAAAAAATGCCGTCTGGCAACGGCAACCCGCCAATGCAGCAGTGCTGTCGGTCCGTTTTTTTACTACGGGCGGACGGCAAGCGGTTAAAAATACTCCCCTTATTGTCTTTTTTTAGGAAGCAGAAGGATAAGACAGGTAGCGTACTCTCAATTTATTTTGCTTTAGATCCACTTTCTGCACCTACTGAAACACCATGGGCATCTTCACCAAACAGCATGATAAATTGTACATATATGATAGATAGTTATTAGTAGACTTCATGATTATGTAATGCAGTACATATTTACATGAACAGACTTAATTAACTCATAGTATATAGGTTATGTGCACCATAATACATGGAGTGTGAGTCATTAAGCTTAATATATTTATGTTTTCCACTGTAAAACCATTATAGCACATTCACCTTCCCTCCTGTCTCATTTCTCATCTCTTTCAGGGACCTGCTCTTGCGTTCTGCAACATCTTAATTTATTTATTTGTTTACCAGAGAGATGGGATATTTTACAGGTCAATACTTTTCTACGGGCTCTTGAGAGCTTTTTCAGCTCTCCGAGTGCAAATTTAAAACTGATAACACCACCAGGGAATGCTGTGTCAGGTGAAATACATTGATTACTCAGCACCACAGTGTGTTCACAGTGTCAAAAACTACATTGCCTTTCTCACAACTATTTATGCAGAAGTTTGGAGAAAAGACACTTTTTAGCAGCGTTGTGCCACCTCCCTGCCATCCCCATAGAACATTATTTAACCCTTTTTTTACCAATACCATCATCATTTTAAAGCAACTGCTTGAAAAGAAGATTATTCTGATTAAAATGTAGATTTTGTTTATTTTTTTACTTTTGATTTTTTTTAATATAACTGTATTATTTATTTTAGAACGCTCATCACTCAGTTAGCATGAATTGTAACTATATTTATTGGGTTTTAGTTCTTGTACAGCTGATAATATAACCTTTATTCATGATATTTTATTTATACTATTTTGTCTTCGTACATCTCTGTGGAAGTTCTCCAGCTGAATGATGCTGTCGAACAAACAAACATTTTGTGTACCATTCAGCAGAACAAGATGAGTGATCTCTATGTGATATTTCAAGATTCACCTTTTTTTGTGGTCATTATGATAAGCGTTGAATCCCAGTTTGTTGTGATAAGTACTGTTGCAGCTGGAATGTCTGGGTATGAGCAGTTTTAAAGTGATAAAAAAGCCAAAATATGTTTAAGTTATTTAAAATGCTGATTAAATCACTTACAATGGATGCTGCTCCTTGCTGTTTAAAACTTTTCGTTTCCTGCAGAATCAGTTGGTCCCTTGAGCTTTGGCTCTGATATCCTGTTTTAGGATGGCTCCTTTCTCTTGCAGGGTCCTATGGAGCCACCCTTGTGTGTGCTAATAAGCTGTGTGTGTCTCTACTAGCTAGGAGGAGGGAGGAGAAAGGAGAAAAGAAGGGGGAGAGGGGAGCCGGGGGGGAGCTAGGCACTCCTCTACTTCTTCTTCTTTCCTCCTTTCTCCTCCCTCCTCCTAGCTAGTAGATAGTTGGCTGCTGGAGGCTTTGGTATCCCTTGTATTCTTGTACTGGACATGAAATTCAGAGAAGCTGAGCTGATTCAGCTTGTTGGAAACATGATGACTGTAAGTGTTTGGGCAAGAATTTAAAGAAATACTTTGCAGGGCAACGTACATTTGTTTGATCTGGATTCATTATTGAAAAAAAGATTGAACGTTTAGTACTACTTTCAAAATATGCCTTCTTCTAGTTCCCAGTCAAGTGAATCAGGGTGATCTGGGCTGCACCATGATCTCTTCTACAAAAGGATTACAATTTTGTACAAAATAGAGTCATTATAGATGGCATCTTAGCCAGACTGTAAAAATCATTATTATCACCAGTCCTACAAAGTACCAGTATGATATGAAAAGATGTCAACAGTTTGGTTTTACTTTACAAATTGATAGCTAGGAACAGGGCAACTGAACGAAAACTGTAAGGATGTCATTATGGTTATTTATATAAAAAGCTAAAATCACAAATCGACAAGCCAGCTACAATTAATTAGAGCCTTGCTGCTCTTTGCGTACAATGAATCAAGGTTCAGTCAATGATAATGTTACTCAAGTGTCACCTGACACAAGTCAAATTCTCCACTTTGATTTTAGTTTAAAAAATGCATTGAATCCTATTTTACTGATTTACTAATAAATTATTCAGAGCTCTTCCCCCATACCCCCATCGCTTGGTTCCCATGCCCCTGGCTAAGATCAAGTGTAACTGATCTCATTCTCATGTATCCTGAAAAATGACAACTTGATTCAAGAAATCTTGAATTAGTGCGGGGGGGACCTAAGAAACAAAAGGCCCAAGTTTCAAGATTTTTTTCTCATGACCCCCACCACCACGCAGCCCGCTTAGAAGCGTGTCAGACAATCATCCTACCCCATTCAGAAGCCCATCGGACCATCATAAACCTTCCCCCCACTCAAAAAACCATTGGACCATTGCCCCTTTGCCAGATTCGGCACCATCATCTCCACCAGGGCTCCAGCCTGTCCTTATCACTGCACTGCCATCATCCTAACTCAGAAGTGGAGCACTCCAGGAGCTGTGTAGCACCACGGCACACCCCAGACCTGTTTACCTGTGCCCCACTCTGGGGGAATGCAACTGCTGACACTTTGTGGGGTGGAGACCACGGCTGTTGAGAACAAAATCAATCCCCTCTGGCTGATCAATGTACATTGCAAGGATTTTAACAAACTTTGTTGCAGTTTACTACCTTTTTCTTTCTGAAGAAAAAGCTGTTTGTTTCCAAAGTGATTTCTAAATGGGAGGGTCAGGGTTCATTACAATCAGCTGGTGGGCTTTCTGTGTTTTAATAGCTGCAGTGTTGGTATCCCTTTAGTAGTAATTAATCCTTAGGGAGTATCTCACCAAAAAGGATGCCAAAAATATATACTTGTATCTTAGTACAGACCTCTGGGGAAATCAGTCAGCCAAACACAAAAGCAGGAAGTGACATGTCTAGGTGTGGAACGCCTCCAGGTTGCCATTTAGCATTTAATATTTTTGACAGATTTATAACATTACAGGAGCTACAGTGTTAAATGGAAAGGTAATGTTTAATAACAATAAATTACAAAATGGCTCGTGCGCCAATTATAAATTCTTTTTTTTTTTTAAAGATTTTTTTCATTTTTATATTTATAAATACCACCAAAATAAAGCTCTATGTGTCCCCAAAAAAGGGTATAAAATTAATTTCAGTGCAGCGCTGCATGACGGAATAAATGTCAGTCAAAGTACCGCAGCGCTGAATACTGAAAAATGGCCTGGATGGGAAGGGGGTTTAACAC